CATTAATTTTGAGTTTGTCTTCAAACACCTAGGAAACTGAAGCTCAGGAAGCTTGCTGGGGCCACCTGTCTGACTGTCCCCTCTGGGCCCATGAGTCTGTGCGAGCAGATGAGGACACCTGGCCAACAGGACCTTCATCCTGAAGCAAGGGACTGTCCTCTGTCCACGCTCTCCTCCTTCTAGTGGGAGTTCTTGCTTAATCAGTCTAGAGTGCACCGCAATGGCAGGAGCGACGCTTTCCAAGCTAGAGATTGGCCTCAGAATCCCCGTTCTACCGCTTAAATCAGTGTAATTTGGATCAGATTCTTAACCTTCTTGACAGGGCTGGGAGTAGGGTGAAAGCCCCCAATTTAAGGGTCGACAAAAACCTCAGTAATCGAGAAATAATATTTTAATGCAGCAATTTAAGACGCAAAAATTCATGGTGTACAAAATATTTTAGCTTTAAATAAAGACTGGATCCGTCAGCAGCCGGGCGGTTGGGTGCGGGAAGACCGGGACCGCCCAGGAGGCGCATTGGCGGAGGAAGGCGGGAGCACTCGTGGAGGAGGAGAAAGGAAGGTGGAGGGGCGAGGGAGAGTGGGTCTGGATTCCTCGCCCCCGCGGTATCAGCAGAAATCTTTCTGTACTGGTCTTAGGATCACGCTGCGAGTTTTGCACCCAACTCTAGTGCACGGGTTCTTCTCTGGTCAGGGGGAGATCTGGGGGGCGCTGAGGGCCCATCCCTGCAGTTGCGAGCTCCTGGGGGACCAGGATCCGGAGGATCGAGGCCCTGAGGGAGCATCCTGTGAGGAGTCTCTGAGGCCCCACGCCTGACCTCTGGCCTCAGGCTGAGGAGGGTGGGGGGGGACCCGCTTGGTGAAAACCGGGGTGTGGGGGGCCCGGGGTGGGCAAGAGCGGCGGGCACCCGCAGCGGCAGGCCTCCACTAGCCCGGTCCGGCGGGGTAACGTCGCAGTACCACGGGCCGCAAGTGCTTTTCCCTTCACCACCTGAGGACAGGGGCCCTGGAGATGGGCACGTCCTTCCCTAGGCGCACAAGACATCTCTTTTCTGGGTCCCACGGGCAGGCGCGAGTGTGAAGTCCCGAACCAAAAGCGCGCACACCTGGGACCAAACAGACGACAACCTCCCGCCTCACCCCTAGAGGAGCTGATCTTTGCCTTGCCCTTAAAGCCGGAACTGGGCGAGGGCGCCTCGAGCGCCAGGCCCAGGGGCCTCCGGGGTGGGCCCGAAGGCCTGGACGCTCCAGGCCCGTTCTTGGGGCCGGGGCTGGAGGGGCCCTTCAAGGGGACCATTTGGGTTCAAGAAAACTTAACCCCGCCAGGGTGTGCGTCTGAGCCAAGGCCCGGACTTCTCCCCGGAAAGGCTTGGACTAGCAGCGCTCTAGCCAAGCGGTCGAAATCCCGGGCCTCGCCGCGCGCTCCCTTGCCGGCGCGGGGACGCGCGCTGCTTTCCCCTGGGACTTGCTGCGGCGGCCTCCGAGGGGCTGCGGTCGCGCTCCCCACGCTGCTTCGGGACTTTTCTGTTCCGTAAGCCGAATTTAGGAATCCAAAGGCACCATTTCTGTCGCTTTTTAAAGCATTTACCAGAAAGAGAGGAAAGGAGGATGAGGACGGGATCTCGGACCAAGTTCGCGAGTAGCTGCCCTTGTGCCCTGAAGCAGGTCTCTTTTCTCACCTTCTCTCCCGCTGTCACCCTCAGGTGCACGGCGGCGCTCTGGGTCTGGAACCCGGTCCCGCAGCCCTGGCGCAGCTCTCGCTCCTGGTGTTGGCGGCGGGTGAGCGAGCCCAGGCGCTGACGGGTCCCAGCCGCTGTCGGCGGAGGGTTCTGCGTTAGCATTCGTTAAGCGAGGGATCATTGGCCAAAAGCGGGAAACCAGTTCCTTCCAGGGCTGTTCTCTGCGACCACTAATTTTTGAGCTCCGGAGACTACAAATGGGAATTTGAAAGTGTGGAATGTATAGGGAGACGTCTTCCAGTTCTCCAAACTCCGTATAACCAAACTCAGACGTATAACCAAAATGTTTAATTCTTAGGCTCCAAAGTTTAACGGGATGTAAGGAAGGGCTCATTATCACCATGTGACTCCACTCTGCGCACATTCCAAAACTGTCTATACAGTTACCTCGACAAGCGTGAGCGAGAGATACGTCTCTACGATCACGAAGTTGCCGTTCAAAATTTAAATATAATAAAATTCTGTACTTATGTTTTACATACATTGGTGTTAAGGTTATAGTTTAGGGGTTTTACACGTTATCTCATGAATCCACAGAGCCATCTTCCAGGCCCTTTTTTAATGTAGATGGTGAAACTGAGGCTTTGAGAGGTTTAGATAACCTACACAAAGTCTTAGGGCTAAAGCGGTCTAAAGTCAAGATTCAAAGCCTTCTACAAGTCCGATTGCACGTTCCCGTATCCGAAAGCAGCCCCCGCCCGCCTGTCGTCAGCCTGAGCAGAGCCTGGAGGGAAGTGTTAATGTGATTGCTTTGTTCCAACCCCTGTGGTGGCTCTACCTGTAACCCGCGCTAACACTGAGATTTTGAAGGGACCTCAGAACTTCAGCGCTCTCCGCTTCAGGACGGCTTCGAATCACCCTCTGACCGCATCTCTCTGCCAAGCACCGGTTCCCCGTTTTTATAGCACCATATTGACTTGCAAAGGCAATAAATCTAAGAGAAGGGACGGGGTGCCCCCCCCCCGATAATTATATTGTAGTATACATTTTACTGCCACGGTTTCAACACCAACAAGATACATAGCTTGTTAGGGATCCCCAAACGGCTCACCTCTCGCGCCCGGATTTGTTTAAAGTGGCCTTTTCAATTCCTCTGGTTTGCCTCCTGCCTCCGCGCGCTCATTTAGCTTTTTGTGCTTTCTGTTTTACCTTTAATACGATGAATAGTCGGAGTTTTGCCCACAAGAGACTCAGAACTGGGCTACCGCCGAGGCAATTGGAAAAGGAAGCGGAAGCTGATTGCGGGCAATCAGCTTTCCCCTCGCTGGGCCAATTTTTCTAAAAATGTCCCTGTCATGAAATTATTCAAATTCCATTCTAAACCATTGGGATAATTACGAAAAGAAACGATGTTTCCTCTGTGTAGAAAAGTAATGGTAAGTTTTTAAAAATTGCGGTATAATTCTGTAAGTTTTTGAAAACTAAAACCAGCAAAAAGATCTTCACCACCCATTTGAAGCATATATTAAGCTCTGGACCAACCATGACATCACCCTCACTCCGATAAAAAGTTAAAAACAAACAAAAAACCCTCTTATCAGAAATCTCCCTTTCTGAGACAGGAAAGGAACCAGTATGTGCCTTACATTCAAGAGGGAAATGTCACTGTTGCATTGAGATGGGGTATGTGCTGGGGGACGAAGTGGTCTTCAACAACAACAACGGAGGGTCTGGGTTGTCCAAAAACAGCAAAAGACTAAAGGCTCGAGAATGGAAAACAGATCCTTAGGCACACCTGGTTGGCTTAGCCTCTGTTCTTCCTGAGGTTTAATCTGAGAGCCCTCTGCTCTCAGCCGGTGTTAGCTCTACTATCAATCTCCCGAGAACAGCCCAGGCGCAGCTGCAGGGCCATCGTGTGACCAAGACAGTGGCCTGGAGTGCCGGTCTGGCGCTCTGGGGTCTGCCTCTAGCCGGCTGGGCCGACTGGAGAGATGTGCCCCTGCCAAGCCCTACCTGGTGTTTCCTTCTCAAAAGCAAATGGAGATACGCTACAGGAACGTGCAAAACCCTTCCAGCAATAAAGCCTATGATTTTACGAATTTCCCCAAATATTTGCACGTATACACTTTGTACCTGGAGACTGATAGCAGAATGCGTTTTTTTAGTCACTGCATGCAGCACCTTGTTAGAAACTATCGATACACATTGGCAAAAGTGGCTTAAATCACGACTCCCAGATGTCATCACTTCACTTTCATAAAAGTTCTCAACTTTTTAGCCTTTTCCCATAAGTTTATTTCAGGAGACTGGGGGGCAGGGGGTGCAGGGAAGGGAGAAAAGGGCTGGTGGGAAATGGAAGTTATTTTCTCTTTCTTTTAAATTTTAAGACCCACCAAGAGGCTCCTAATCGCCAGACCGACTGGCTGGAAAGGAGCGCAAATATTTACATGTACAACTTGAGTGTGTGTGTCAGCCTGAGTTTACACGGCTCCAAGTGAAGCGGATTACCCTGCGAATTCGGAGAATTTGAGTTATTCAAGCTGAACAGGGCCAACAGGACGACCCCCATAAGGCCGTGGGAAGTCCTGGTCGCAGCCTAGTTTGCGAAGGCAGAAGAGCCCTTGTCTACCAAGCTCAGGCGCTGTAAATCTCGCACTCCCCCACTGCGTGTCGCGTGGTCCCCGCAGGGTGCCGCGCCCCCCGCCCCGCGCCTTCCCTTCGTGGGGGCCCCACTCTGCGGAGTCCCTTTCGGCAACAGGAACCCCGCATAAGTGGCGCACTGCTGTGCAGCAGAAGTTGTGTCTCTCCAGTCCCCCGACAAGCAAACAGATTTTGGAGCCCAAGGAAGGAGGGGACCAGCCCTGGGAGCTGTCCCGCGAATAGGATCTGGCCCGTTAGGTGCTGGCTCTGTGGCGCCGGTTTCCGCTCTACTTAGAGCTTACCAACTTTCTTTTGGAACTTTGAGCGCGGGGAAGAAAAATAACGGAAGAAGCAGGAACTCCCCCAGGCTACCTCCGGTCTAGGTTCCCGCACTGGGCCACTCCCAGAATCCCGCGTCCTAGCCGCTTCAAAAATACCCGCTCCCGACCGCGCGCACGTCCCTTCCGCCCTGGGACTTCGAGACCAGGCTAGGGGCGTCCGCAGCAGCTTGGTGGTGACACTTTTTTCCGAACGGGCGCCAGGTCCGCGGCCGGTAGCGGCGCGAGGCCGTGCGGGCACCACGCCCGGGGCGCGCCCTCCCTGCCCAGCCCGCGGCCCCGCCCCCGGCGGCGGAATCAGGAAGCGGTGACGTGAGGCGGCGCTGACTGGCTGCGCGCCGCCGGGATAGCTGCCGCCAGCAAATTAAGGCGCAGGGCTGCGAGCGCCGGGGCGCAGTGTCCTCCGCGCCGCGCCGCGCCGTGCTCGGCACGCCTGCGCTCGCGCTCCCTGACGTCCGCCCCCTCGCAGCGGCGCCCCACCGGTCGCCACCTTCCTGCAGCTTGGGCCGCTCCGGCTGTTCCCAGCGCGTGGAGGGAGGAAGGACGCAGAGGGGGTGCGGCAGGATCCCTGGGCTTTGGGCGTCCGATGCTCGTCTCCACCTTCCGGCCGCTCAGCCCGTGGTTCTGCGGAGCGCCCCAGTGTTCGCGCACCCGGCTGAGCCCGCTGCTGGTCCTCTCCTGTCCTCTCCGGCTAGTTGGAAGTCTCTGGGGCTGGAGGGCTTTGCGGTGAGGGACAGAGGCCAGTGTGGAGCTCTTGGGAGGTTGGGGCTGACTCATCTGGAGTTGCCGACTCCGCTGAGACTGCACTTGGAAACTTTGCGCTGTGTGTCGGTTTTTGTCTCCCTTGGGGAAGCTGGACGGCAGTTCGGCAGGCCCCGTCCGTGGCCAGGACCGCGCGCTGGGGGCCATGGAGTTCACGGCGTCGCCGAAGCCACAGCTCTCCTCCCGGGCCAACGCCTTCTCCATCGCCGCGCTCATGTCGAGCGGCGGCTCCAAGGAGAAGGAGGCCACCGAGAACACCATCAAGCCTCTGGGTAAGTCCTGAATGTCTGCCGTGGGCAGGGGCGGGGCTGCAGCGCATCCGTCTGGCCCTCCGTCCCCTGCCTGCGGGAGGCTCGAGAGGGTGGCCGCCTTTCCCTGCTGGTGGCGCCTTCTGATCCTCAGGCCAGGGGCCCGACGCTAGGGGTTGAAGACTCTTTCCTTTTCCTCCCAAATTTTCTTTGGGGACTTCACGGATAGCCGGTTTCGCGTCTCCTCTATGCGCTAGCCACTTTCCCTACCTATTCGTCTAGAATCCCCATGTCAAGTCGTACGTATGAGAGTGTGTGTAACTTTTTTGGGATAAAAACAGTCAGGGATAAATAATAATTAACCCCTTTTAAGACTCAACAGAATTTACCAAGCGTGTACACCTGCGTGTGCATTTGATACCAAGGAGACTAAGCGACTTCACAAGGAACTAGTTGAATTTTGTTTTTCCTCTGACTTCAATCGATTAAACAGAACCAGCTCCTTAAAACCACCGTCAAGTGCTGTAGAATAAGCCAGTTCTCCCCACATGAACGATTTTCTTCACGGAAGCTCCAGACTTATCAATGAGGCATCGTTTTGTAGCTGCCATCATTTTCAGTAGAGGTTGGCAAAAACATTAGCCAGTAACCATTTTCCAAATTCCTCAACTTTTAGCTATACTGTTTATTTAACAACCTTTACCATTTATAGAAGACACGAGGCTCAGAGTAAAGGGAAAATAAGGATTATGTTCCCCGAGCACAAGTGAACTGTGTGGGAAAGAAACTGCTGGACTTGAGTGTTTCAGAGTCCCTTTATAATTGACAGAGAAAGAAGTGTTATCATCACCTCTTGGGTCCCCGGGAAATAATTATTCCACATCCTGATCATCTGATAGCCCTAAAACGGTGAGAAACGTCAAATAGCAAACTTAGGTAATATTTCTTTTTTAACTCTCCCCAGTGTTTTCTTTTTTTTCTCCCTGTCCTTTCCAATACTTTAACATCTCACATCTGAAACAACAATCCTAGTATGAAAGACAAAGTGTTAGAGATGAAAAAGAAGAGGGCCGGGCAGAGAGAAAAGAAACAGCTAAAATCCCCGGAGCAGCTTAGAACCAAGGAAAGGGAAACCGGAAGATCTCCAGAAAATATAATGTCAAAAATTCTCCCCTCCAAGGTTTTCACTCCCTTTCCCTGGTTCTTCCCACCTGCCCTCCTGTCGAAATCTAAGCCTGCCGAAAAAATATGGGAACAACCAATGAAACAAAAACCCCAACTGTTTACAGAAATATTAGCCACTAGTTTCAAAGTTATATTTGTGAAACTGCCCAACGTTATCACTCCTATTTAGAGGGCCTCTGAATTCTTTATAAACACCCCCATCACAGTTTGGTAGCTAGCAGGAAAAGAGCACTTGGGGTTAAAATTCCTGTCAGAATTACAGGCAGCAGACTGGGAAACATGCCATTTCCAGCTCATGTCAGTATTGCTTTCTTTTCTGTTTCTTTTCCTGAGAATACTCACCTTCTATCTAAATTCTAAACTATAAAGCCATCCCCTCTCCCCCACCACAAACACACACAAGTCTGTAAAATGAGCATCCCTCCCCTGGGCTTTTGAGACAGGCTCTGAAAGAACCAGAAGGCATTCTTGTCCTTTCCACAGGCCAGTTCAACAGAGCACAATAAGCCAAGGACTCCCGCAAGAGAAACACCTAGAGGTTCTGTTAAGAGAGAATGTGGTACTTTGGAACACGAGAGCTGTTGAAGGAGCTGTGGGGTGGGGACTCGAAAGTGTCTCCTGCTTGCCCATTTAAACACACTAAATCTATTTAGAAGAACTGCCTTAGATCACTAGAACATTTCTTTAAAAAATTTTTTTTTTATTGAGATACAATTGACATATAACACTGTGTTAGAGCAATTCTGTATCATTTTCTTCCTCCTTCACTTTCCAACCCTGACAGTCTTTAGTCTGGGGCTTAGGGGCTTGCCTTTTTCAATTGTCAGAAAATAAGAAAATTTCTGAGGCTACTTGTTGATTCCCTATAAAGACCTTATGTGAATGTGTTTCTGAAAATACTCGTTGCAAATAAGATTGTGCCATGGCATACTTCTCTGTCTTTGAATTTGACAATATAAGGCTAAGATAATTAATTTGGTCATCCTTAATTTAAAATGTTACAATGAGTTGGATTATTATTGTAAGAGAAGAAAAGGTAAAAAAAAATTCCGTTTCCTGCTTGCCTGCCCCAAGTCAAGGAGAAATATGGGAAATAAAATACTTTATATGATATACAGCATTTATATGTATATACCTACATTTAGAACTTGTTTCAATTCCTTGAGGGCACTCAGAACAGAGTTGTTTAGAGATCAGTTTCACATTGCAGATTCAAGTAGTTTCTTTTTTAAGGGATGCAAGATAATTGGGACAATTACAGAAGTCCCCCTGTATTCCATCAAAGTGACTGGTGTAGTCCTGGGCCCTTATCAGCTGTGGAGGAGAATGTTTGGTTCATAGGCAGTGGTATTCCAGCTTGATGGTGGATGGCGTTCTTCCTACTTTAATACTCTGCTAGCCTGGGGTCGAGGTTGTTTTCCTTACTTCCAGGACTTTTTTGAGAGAAAAATACACACACTGCCCTCAAGTAGTTGTTTCACACCAGTTCCCAAAATGGCCTGGGGAGCTCACTTGATATGTTAGAGTCTTTCATAAGATCTCAGGCTGGGACGGATATTGTAAAAATGCACTCATATCAAAGCCTAGAAAACGGAGAGCCAGGCAGAGAAGTAAAGTAACTTAATTTTTTTGTTTTAACCACATCCCCACTTTTCTCCACTTCCCCTCCCCTTTTTCATTTTTTTCTCATGGAGGGAAGGCTCCGGATGGAAGGGAAAGTTTCTTTCAAAGTAAGGAAGGTGCTCATCTCTTCATTCCCTTGGTCTCCCTGGAGAAAAATCTCGCCTGGTTGTCAGAGAGGCAGGACTGGCACCAGATCCCACAAGCAAAGTCTGGAACTTGGGAGGGAAAACAAAAGGAGTATTTGCTTTTCATCTTTCTTGATCACCTCCTTTCCCTTTATCAGCTTCTTATATTTTTCGTCCCCAAAGTGGCTTTCATAATGGTGGTAATAAGCTATTAGTTCTAGAACTCATTTGGTTTAGTATGTCACTATATCGCGGGAGAGAATATATATATATATTGATGGGTTATCACTGCCTTCCTGGAGTTTCTGACCTTAACTTTTCCAAAGTCAAGTCCAGAACCTGTTTTAGTTGTGTTGTTCTCCTTCCTGTGTCTTTGCTAGACAGTGTTAGCTGTCATCCTCCATTCTCTTTGCCCGCAGAACAATTTGTTGAGAAGTCATCGTGTGCCCAGCCCCTGGGCGAACTGACCAGCCTGGATGCTCACGGGGAGTTTGGTGGCGGGGGCAGCAGTAGCCCATCCTCCTCCTCTCTGTGTACTGAGCCGCTGATCCCCACCACCCCCATCATCCCCAGTGAGGAAATGGCCAAAATTGCCTGCAGCCTGGAGACCAAGGAGCTCTGGGACAAATTCCACGAGCTGGGAACAGAGATGATCATCACCAAGTCGGGCAGGTAGCGGGGGTCTTGGTGTGTGAGGAGTGGGGCGGTGAAAAGAGCGCCCTGGGTGGCCTAGGGTGTTCCCAGGAACTGGGTGAAACCCCACTAATCCAGAGCACTGAGAGGAAGCTTCGCTTAATGAGGGCTTCTTTCCCCTGACTTGCTTTTGGAAAGAACTGCTAAGACAGACGTCTAAGCATTTGCTTTCTCGCGATCTGGCCATGAAAAACCCAACTTGGCCTTGATGAGAGGGGTGCAGGGACCAGTAATCTTGGGACGCTGCAATCTGAGAGGGCTTTGGGCTGCAGGGTTGGCATCTGGAGGGAAGAGGGAACTCATGCTGGGAGTGCAGGGCGGGCTGCTAGGTACTTGGAGGGAGGCAGGTAGCTTCCCTTTTATTGGTCTCAATTTGCAAAAGCCACCAGTTCCCATTAAAAACCAAAACGAAAACCTGTGCCGAAGAATGAAATTTGAAACGACCACACTCTGTGTAGGACAGAGTGCTGGTGCTGCAGGCCCCCTGATGCTGTAGCCGGCACCAAGGCCAGAAGCCCTGGGGGTGCAGGCGGCTCCCCAGGCCTGGGGCAAAGACCCTAAAGGTGGCCAATGGCAGCCCTGGTCACTCCAGCTCTCTGGACCCTGGGAAATACCCCCAGGGTCTCCGGAAACCCAACCCTGCCTTAGATTTCTGTGGCTGGGACAGAGTTTTCTCTCTGCCACCCTAGGGGCTGGGCGACTTGGTCTGCTCCAGACACTTTGGTCTGGGAGCCTAACAGGCTTGATAATGTAACCTAAAGTTTTCCCTAATCACAGACCTTTGGGTATTAGAAAACAAAACAAAACTTTTCACCTAGCAATGAGGACACCGGAAAAGGTGACGCCTAAAATTATTTCTGCTTGGGAGAAGGAAGATCTCCGAATTCACATCTCTGTGGAAACAAAAAAGGGCTTGGGGGCCGGGTAGGGAGGGGAGTAGGACCTCCCTCTTTAATTCGGTGGGCTCTTTTGCCAGTATGAGCTGTGGCCGATTCTCTTTGTTTCCCTGTGTCAGGAGGATGTTTCCCACCATCCGAGTGTCATTTTCGGGTGTGGATCCTGAGGCCAAGTACATAGTCCTGATGGACATCGTACCCGTGGACAACAAGAGGTACCGCTATGCCTACCACCGGTCCTCCTGGCTGGTGGCTGGCAAGGCAGACCCGCCGCTGCCGGCCAGGTTTGTGCCTCCAGATTTTCGGGCAGAGCAAAACGCGTCTTAACCCCGAGAGCAGAATGTCTCTGGTTGGTTGCATTTTAAGCAGATCTGTTTGCACAGTGGTGGGCTCTGGTAGAAAGCATTCCAAGCCCAGGTGCTCCAGGACTGACTCTACAAAATATCTGAGAAAGGCAGAGTTTGCAGAGACAGAATGTTGTCTTTAATTTTATATTTCTCGTAATTCATTTCCACGCTTTCCTAATTTCAGTTAGAATATTCATTAGAAATCTGGACCCATTTCATAGGGCACCCATCATTTCTAGTTGGCTATTTAATACCAGACTGAATACACCTAACGCTGAAGTGGTTGCCCTAAAAATCCTTTTTAGAAGAGTGCATTTTAGTAAAGTGGTTGCTTATAGTAAATATTTTTAAGTAATATGGTTATATCTGCACACAATAAAGGTCATTTTGGTGAAATGTGGTTGTTTTTGACCAATAAAGGACTCAGACATTTTAAGTAAGAAAAGCTAACTTTTGGGTGCCTGGGTGGTTCAGTCATTAAGCGTCTGCCTTTGGCTCAAGTCATGATCTCAGGGTCCTGGGATCGAGTCCCACATCAGGCTTCCTGCTGAGCAGGAAGCCTGCTTCTCCCTCTCCCACTCTTCCTGCTTCTTTTCCCTCTCTTGCTGTGTCTCTCTCTGTCAAATAAATAAAATCTTAAAAAAAAAAAAGGAAAGCTAATTTTTTTTCCCCCTTCTCCATAGTAAGTTCAGTAGATGCATGTAATTCAATATCAGGTTAATATTCTTTTACATGAAACATTACTCAGTATATTAGGGATCATATATGTTTATTATTATGCTATTCATTGGTAATAATGTTTTTCAAGGAGAACCCTGTTTAAAAAATCACATGCTGTTTTTTTATTGTTGCTGCTTTACCCAAATTAGCCTTCTAGGGGGATAAAAAAGCATGTATTAGTTTATGCAAAAAGTAGTAGCTGAAGTTATAGGAACCTAACTGCACACTTTAATACAAACAAAGGATATTAGTAGACTTTACATTTAGGGTTCTAAAACCAAGACTTACTGTTTTTGAGTTGTTTTATGACTATCTAATTTTTCTAATTGGTTAGAAATTCATATCAGAATTAAGAATTTATTTACATGTACAGATTTAGGAACTTTGATGGTTGGTTCTTTGTAAGTATCTAGTCTGGAGTTTTAGTCAAGGCACAGAACCAACACAGACAATTTACACATACTAGTTCAGATGGAATATTACGCTTACTTAGTCATTAATCACATTACTGAGCTTACAGTATGCTAAATACACTGGAGAAGAGATTAAAAAACTCTCAGAGTTTTCCATTCCCACAAGAGACTAGGAAGGACATCTTCCCAACCCTTCCAAATCAGCATATTAAATAACAAATAACCAGACTAAGAACTTTTTAAAAGATGTTATACCCTTTTTTTTTAATTGAGCAAGATTCACCAGTTTCTAGTAGTTTATAATTAGTATTCTTTACTATTTATTATTAAATAGCTGATTCACATTACTCTGAAGCTTCCTTCCAAACTTTCCAAAATCTTTTTAAATGAGAGAGAGAGGTATTTTAGCAGATTCCTAACCATTTTTACAAGCAAATCCTTCCCCCCCCCCCCCCGCCCCCCGAGGTCTTTCCTTTAAGAAGTTAATCGCTCTTATTTAGCATACGTTTTCTTCCTATTAAAGGTATGGGGAACTGGTGCTGGCCAGCAGGACTTTGGAAATATGAAATGCCTTGTTTATGTTACTAATCTCTTCTGGTTAGAGAAGGAAAGCGCGTACCAATACACTATCTTAACTGAAGCATGTTTAAGCTATTGCTGGAATTTTAAGTCCTGGGGGACTTGAGAGAGGAGGGGCTTCCTGTATGCTTTTTCATTCATCTTACTTCAGTTTATTTATATTGATATTAGATAAAAATGTTTAGTGTGTTATAGGATAGAAATATGCTAGATAATTTAAGCAAATGTTCTTTATTGTATTAAAAAATAGTGCTACATTTCATAGCTCCATAAGGGGAAGGTGAGGAATATGGGAGGTGATCATTTTTGTATTGATGGTGGAAATTCCTTGTGGTTCTTGTTGAAACATTTATTTCAGATGGAAGTTTACCAGTCAGTTGTTCCTAATCAGAAGAAATAATACTTGACAATATCATTTGATCTCAACAATGGGCAAGACATTATCTAAAATAATGTTGTGTTTTCATATAGAACATTTCGTTGTCTTTAAAGTAACTGATATTTAAATGTTAGACTTTATTAATGTGATTCCACATGTTGAATTGATAGAGAGGGAACATTTCATGAGCTTCTAGGAGTTTAAATATTTTTGAAACTTTTTTGGCGGAGTAGGTAGGATGTGCTGGTCAGTAAAACCATTGCATGTGTGAAGTTTTAGCCTTAGAGGGGTGTACTTGAAATGGTATTATGGTTGTGTCATCAAGGAATGCTTGAATTGAAAGGCACTTTTGAGCAGTCCTCCAAAACAAACAGGCAGACAAACCCACACCTAAAGCCTTTAAAATTCTTCTATGGGTCTAGTGAGAATTTCTAGTGCCTTTTTTGTGCTCTGCTTCTGGTGGGCTTTAGCCTGTCAGCATGGGCACCTAATTCTTAGTCCTCTGTGTGACAAAGCATGGCACAGTCTTCTTGGTTTTTTTCGATAAGTACTGCAGGGAAAGGTTTTGTGACTTCTCCCCTGACTTTGCCCAAACCATAATATTTATGTTTAATTAAAATTATAAGGAATCTATATAAAATTGAGATATAAATAACCTGTTAAATGGATAAAAGGATTTGTCCTATTAAATCAGGGATATTTTCTTCTCTTTCACGAGTTCTGTAATCTCCCCTGACTTCAGAAAAGCTTATGTCGAGTGGATACTAGGATTAGAATTTACAAAGTGTTGTACTTTGTGTAAACCATCCCTGGTAGAACAGATGGCCTGCATTTAACTGTGAATGAGGAAAAGATTGCCTCGTACGTAGCAGCTGATCAATAAATGATAAATACTTGATAAATATATTTTTCCCATCAAAGGTTCCCCCCCAAAAAAACTGTTTATGAATAAATGCACTGAATAATTTGAGGTTTATCCAGCTTATTTTCACTGTCATTTAGTGGGCACTTAACTAGATGAAAGTAATAGTATTTAAGGTAGTGGAAGGAGCAACAGACTGTGATCTGTGGACTATTAAAAGTTAGCCACGTTGCTGTATTAAAATTACTTTGTCTTGTATTTATAAACTTCAAACTGAGTCATCCTCAAGTGTAAATGAATGAATTCTCTAAAATTGTTTCCTCTTCAGTTCTTTATGCCTTCATTGCTTTTTAGCAGTATTTATACTAGGAGCTATACAATTAGTATAAGCTAGTCTGTCTTTTGAAAATACTACAACAGTAATAAAATTTTGTATTTTATGGAAGCAGACCAATAGTTGATTAGATAGATGGAAAAATATGCACCTTTTTAAAAATGGCTTGCTGAGCAGACAATAGAAAATTTACTAGGTATTACCCCTTTTAGATCATCGGTACATGAAGAAACGTATTTAGATGTTTTAGAGTTATTTTGATACTGTTAGATTATTAAATTTGAGATTATCTAGGGCAAATAAAATTCACCATTTATATGAGGTTTTTGTGTTCCTTTAGAATCAGAGTATTTTATAACCCACAGAGAACAGAGTTTTAAAAGATGTCTCAATAACATTCTCATAATTTTCTTAGGTTGTACGTACACCCAGACTCTCCTTTTACTGGTGAGCAGCTACTCAAACAGATGGTGTCTTTTGAAAAGGTGAAACTCACCAACAATGAACTGGATCAGCATGGCCATGTAAGTACAGTGCCTTGGATTATGTGGATTCCCTGGGATGGAATGGAGAAGTCACTCAGAACTTCCTCCCTCTCAATCTCTTCTTCCCCTCCCTTTCCCCATCCCATCTTCCATCTCTCAGTTATTCTGTGAGAACATTCATGTGCTGTTCAGGGAACCCTGACTGCTCTTCTTAAGAGGCCACTTACAGGGATGCCGTATGCCATTTCTACATAAGAGGGTCTGGGACCTTCGTTCGGCACTATGAATTTCCTAAGACTGCAACTACTTTACTACCTGCACCAGCTAGACAAAGGGAATGTGCATTCCGGAGGCTATGATAGTTCTTAGGTGAAACATCTGATTTCTGTCAGTGGTATATTAGATAACACAGCGTAAAGGAAATGGGGCTGACATCTCCTATGGGGATTTCCCAAAGTGTGTTTTGTAGAGCTTGTTCATGTGAGACGCAATAGAACAAAAGGGTTTTATGTCCAAATAAATTTGGGGAAGTGCTCTTTACTCATTATCTACCCCTATTGTAGAGAGTCTTATGAATAGTAAAGCACAGAGAAGTCTTGAAATTAAAAACAAAACAATTTGATTTTTTGTCATAAGGAGTTCATCAAAATATGGAAAAAGAGAAATTGGAATTCTGAGCCCATATCAATAATTAATAGCACAAATAGCCATTGACATAGGCCTTTACACACTTGATACAACTGCTTTGTAAGGAACTATGATGTTATTCCATGCTCTAAAAGAAAGATTTACATAAAAATTGTTTTAGATTTTATACTAAGAATACTTGAGACTTGCATACTTCTTTTTGATAAGGAGAGGACTATTTCTTTCTTTTTTCGCCTTGATTTGCCAGAAAACACATTGGCATTTCATTGGTTGCTTCCCTTGGCTTAGATATTTTGATACAATTATTCTCTGTCTTACCCCTTTATTAAGACTCTTGTTACTTAAGGTTTTCATTCTTATTGGATCTGTGCAATTTAGTAGTTTCAGAACTCTTCTCAAAAAAGGGTAGTTATAAGTAGATATAAATTAGAGAGTTCTAGCCAATGGTTTCAAATGGTTTGAGTGAAATTGGAACCAAATAAATCACTTTGGGCATTGCCACCACCCATTTGCCCACCTCTGACCAAATCAGAGTAACCAGGTTAGCTCATGACTGCTGGTGACAGTGTTGCAGTGTTGCAAATAGGTTAATAGGTTTCTGTTATTTTATGTATTGGAAAAGATAATTGACTTTTATCTTTAAGAATGTTGGGATAATTGTCTTTTTCTGCTTTTTTAAAGAGATGTTTTCATTGATAGATTTTTTTTTTTTTTCTGATTAAAAATGATGAAGTATCTGGGAGACATTTTCTGCAGGCCAGATCATTCCTAATGTCATTCATATTAAAATTTCTTGAGTCCACTGAAATCTTTGCAGGGAGAAATGAAATTTTTTATGGTTGTGATATTTTCCATATGTGAAGCTTTTATTTATTTATTTTTAATTTTATTTTTTAAATCATTGAGGAAAGTCTTGGAATAGTTGTATGTGTGTTTTTTTTAAAGATTTTATTTATTTATTTGAGAGAGAGAGAGCAAGAGAGAGAGCACAAGCAGGGGGAATAGCAGAGGGGGAGGGAGAAGCACACTCCCTGCTGATCAGGGAGCTGGACACGAGTCTCCATCCCAGGACCCTGAGATCATGACCTGAGCCGAAGGCAGATGCTTAATGGACTGAACCACCCAGGTGCCCTTATGTGAAGCTTTTAGAAGCACTATTTGGGTCTTTCCAGAAAGATTTGAGAATTCATTTTGAGATCAGCTGTCCAGAATTAATATGTTTTCCTTTTAATATCAACTTCATGGGTGAACATAGCACCAAGCTGTATTTTAGGAGCTCTGAGTTCTCATCTGATTATGCCAAGATTAGACCTTGACAGATTATTTAGTCTTAGATGGTTGTTAATATCCATTTTAGCTTTAAAATTTTATTATTTAATATAACCTTTTGTCACCATAAGTAATGTGTTCTGAAAACTACAAGAAAAGATTTTTAGATCCTGTGTCGTTCAGCCAAGTTCTTTGAATTAGTTTTGAAGAAGCCCTTCTTATAGATGCATTTTTCATTTTATAACAGGAAAATTCTTTACTTCAGGGAATTTATTTCTTCAGTAAAGCAAAGTTGACATTTCTATGTAGTATTCCTTAGCCTCATGAGGTCTCGAGCAGAGAGTCAAGGAGCCCTGGGGGCTGAGATTCAGTCTGAGGTTTGAGTCTCTCTGGCACCTTTTCCTGAAGGAAATTGACCTTGGGATGGTGTACGTAGGGAAGAAGGGATATTATTTAAAGCTTAGGGCTTTTTCCATTGTGTGTGTGTGTGTGTGTGTGTGTGTGTGTGTGAAAATTCTTTCTAACTTGTTAGTACAACATATAATGAATGCCCAGGTTTTTTCTTATATCATTGTTAGATATAAGATATATAAATATATCTTAGATGTAAGATAGATATAAGTTAGATGTTGTCACTTTGAGTTTATTCCAGTTTTATGAGTGAGCATAAATATCTTGAACTCCCTGAAATAAACACATTATATAGAGATGACTTTTTTTTTTTTTTTTTAAGTCTATTTCAGCTCATTTGAAACTCATTTGTTTTAGTGATTCCTCTTCAGGTTTGGGACCATAAAACGATGGCATGTTCAAAATTCAGTACCAGCTAATGCCCTGTAACTTTAAGTTGGCTTACGTCTCAGCACAGGGAGAGACTGATTCTATATTAATCATCCCACAGTGACTAGTATTTAACTCTGTTAAAGTCAACTAGCCAAAACGCTCATCTACCACACCCATGGTAGCCAAGGAAACAGGGGCACTGTCAGTTGCAACAACACTGCATGCCATTGACCCTGCTCCTGCCACAGTATGTATCACATGCCTCCCCTGAGAGCCAGGCTCTCTGCGAGGCCCTTGGGATGAAGGGCATGCAGTGTGAGCCCAGGAAAGACATACCCAATTTTGTAGATTTAGGTAGCTGTCTGAGTGGCAGGGGGGAAGATGTAGAAAAACTTTTATATCTGAAAGTAAATTTTGTTGCTCAGATTTCGTAATGGCAAATCAAAAGACACGTGAAAAATGCTGCCTTGTTAACCAAAGTACGCTCATGATTTCTAAGTATTGGGCAGCTTTTACTAGCTGTGCAACGGAAGATGGTCATCACTCTCATTCATATTTGGTTTATAACGGAAGCCAGGGATCAATGAAGCTGTCAGAAATAATAACAATAATAATAATGTTCATGTTTACTGAGCACTTCCTATTTGCTATGTAATTTATAAGGGCTACATCATCTAATCCTTCCTACAACTCTGTGAGGTATGTTTTTGCATTTGAGAAAACAAGGTTGGAGAGGTGAGATCAGTTGGCTCAAGATGAAGGAACTAGAAAGTAACAGGCTTAGCACTCTAACTGAGGTCTAATACCACACAGCCTTTCTTAATTCTTTGTATCCCTCCCCCCCACAACCATAAATAGCAATCTGTCCTCTTAGAATGTATAGGTTCTTACTTTAGAAAATTTAGACCACATATCCTTTGGTCTAACCAGACTAACAAAAAATATTTTAAAGACTTGATTTAAAAAACAAAAATCAACATCCTTCAGATGACTTTCCCCCCATCATTTTAGAAAGGACCGTTGAAACAACCTGTATTGTGTACAATTGTTTTGATAAAATGTGATTTCACAACCATGACTCTGCAGCAACTTATGAAAAGGATTTGCCTTGTGAATGGAAAGGGTATATCCTAATCTTAAAACTTGAATTCAAAGCTGAGATCTTGTGGTTCTTTCTTTGCCTCATTGAACTTTGGCCTGTTTAGCAATATGAATACTTAAAATTCAGTACTTCCCATCTCTTCATCATAGATAATTTTGAACTCAATGCACAAGTACCAGCCACGGGTGCACATCATTAAGAAGAAAGACCACACAGCCTCGTTGCTCAATCTGAAGTCTGAAGAATTCAGAACATTCATCTTCCCAGAGACCGTTTTCACAGCAGTCACTGCCTACCAGAATCAACTGGTGAGTTCAACATTCACCATTCATTTCCTACATAAGGAAAAGATTTAGGAGCTTCTTTCATTTTCTTGGAGAGAAGGGCTATACCAGTACTCAAAATCGAAGTTCACTTTGGTGAGTGCTATTGAGTATCAGCCGCAGAACCTCTAAGCATGTTGAGTGACCATGGCTCAAGGTTATTAAGGTCTGTATTATACCATCTTTTCTAGAATCTTTATACTCTTGGTCAGTTGTTCATTGCCCACTCTCCCACCCAGATCTGCCGCATCTGACTTCTCAAATTTTCTTCTTGAGAAAATCACCTGCTTCTTTTTCTCCTTCTGGTAGAGCCTCATGATGTATATAACCACACACTCATTGCTTCACAAAATTTAGAGATTCAGTTTTTCTGTGAAATTAACACACATATTCCAGCCAACTACCCAGACTACTGATACTTCAGAAATTTTGTGAAGCTTATTCAGCTGTAATTTAAGGTAATTCTAGTAGAAGGATTTTTTAAATGCCTCTTTAGATAATAAACTATAGCATGTAAGCAGTGTGTATTTAATCAACTTCAAGATATCTAATTTATAATATTGAGTTTTATAGTTTCTACTTTTTGATGTATATCACATTTCAAGTTTATGCATTTCTTCATCCATAAGGTTTAATCCAACTCAATTAATAACTATCAAAGTCTTACTGAGGGCTGGGTGCTGGTCAGTACTTCCCCATATATTTTATTCTTTCATGGTCAGCATAACCTTGAAGACTGGGGGTAATAGGAATATTCTGTAGTGAGGAAGCTGAAGCAAAGAGAGGATAGTAACTTTTCACAGTCAGGAAGGACCAGAAATAGAATTCCTCTGATATACTTCAGTAAAAGGAACTCATTCAGGGGCGCCTGGGTGGCTCAGTCGTTAGGTGTCTGCCTTCGGCTCAGGTCATGATCCCAGGGTCCTGGGATCGAGCCCCGCATCGGGCTCCCTGCTCGGAGGGAAGCCTGCTTCTCCCTCTCCCGCTCCACCTGCTTGTGTTCCCTCTCTCGCTGTGTCTCTGTCATATAAATAAATAAAAAATCTTTAAAAAAAAAAAAACCAAGATATTTAAAAAAAAAAAAAAGGAACTCATTCAGTTTACTTGGGAAATTTGGTTGTTTGTGGCCCCTCTAGGTCTTTGTAGCTTGCCTTTATTTGGTTAGTTTTAGGGTAGCCAGGACTATTGCCCTCTTCTTGTTTTGACATTGTTATATTTTGGGTTCTGAATGAGTAATTGTAAGGTGATGCCTGATAGATGGTTCAGAGGCCAGAGTGGGATAGGTCAGCCAGAGGAGATATGGTGTTGTGTCTCTTGAGAAAAGTAAGAAGGTGAAGCTGAGAGCTCAGGTAGCCCTACACAAATGAGGAAATAGGAGCCCAGGGAAGGAATGTGAGCAAGAGGCAGGAGTGGATGTGTGTCTGTAAGGCATAAGCACCTATAATTTCTGTATGACTTGGAGTAGATTTTACTTCACCACTGCTGTTTTCCTTACCTGTTAACTGGAGCTAAGAACTGCCCAGAACATCTTGGGCATTCCTGTGAGGATCACATGTGGTGCTGTGTGTAAACATGCCTTTGGAAACTGTCAGGCACCCTATAAATAAGGCATATGGCGACTATCGGACTGTCTCTGGAGTGTTCAAAGTGACAAAAGTGTCACTTTTTTGGATTTTAAAATGTTAGTGGCACATTTTTTTTAATGAGCTAAATGAAGGCACAAATCATACTAATCATCTTAAAGTAAAAGCAAAGTATTAAAACTTTTTGGTTGTCGGGCGCCTGGGTGGCTCATTTGGTTAAGCACCTGCCTTCGGCTCAGGTCATGATCCTGGACTCCTGGGATCGAGTCCTGCATCGGGCTCCCTGCTCAGCAGGGAGTCTGCTTCTCCTTCTGACCCTCCCTCCCTCATGCTCTCTCTCTCTCATTCTCTGTCTCTCTCTCAAATAAATAAATAAAATCTTTAAAAAAAAATTTTTTTTTTTTTTTGGTTGTCTCTAAGGCAACAACACAAGAGTAGAAACTTTCAGAGAATGACCAAGCTAAAAAGTTGGGTGTAGATTGAAGCCTACAGGGGTGTAAAACCCTAATACTGTTTCACTGAGAATCTGAAACATTGACACCAACTATCCCAGTTTTTATTTGAGGACACATGTAATACAGATATAGATTCAGAGAACATTCCTAAAACATTCATTTTACATGATTTGAATTTATAGCTTTTATACTATACGACATTAGATTTGTACTTCTACAAGAAGTCTGCTGATGTTTGAGAATAAACCAGAAACTTGTCATGTGAAAATTTCATTGCTTTTATCAAAATTCTCTGTAAAGAAAACCAAAGCAAGAATAGGTAAATTGTTTTTTTTTTTTTTTTAAATGAAAATTACAGACTGAAGAAAATTGAAGGAAAGTTTCTAAGAAACTTTAGATTTAGTTTTATAGGTGAAAGAGCAGTCCTGGATAAACCTTGGCAGGACCTCTCAGGTCATGGTACACTGGAATAGGAAGTTTTATCTACATAATTGTGATAATAGCTAATATTTGTGTACTTACTATGTGCTGGGAACCATTTAAAGTGAATTGTCTTATTTAATCTTCACAAGGATATTATAAAATAGGAACAAACAGTATTTGTTTGTTACATTTACAGCTGGGAAAATTGAGGCATGGGGTTAAATAACTCATCCAAGGTGACCTTCCTGGACCTCACCTGCCCTATTTCTCTGTGTATGTAGTTTTCTCCTTCCCTGAATCATTTGAAACTAAGCAGCATACATCATGATACTTTACCTGTCAATACTTCTACAAGTATATACTGGCAATAAGAATATTATTTTTGTAAGCACAATGTCTTTTTCACAGCTAAGAAAATTAATAAGAGTTATTCCTTAATATCTTCTAAAATTCAGTTTCATATTAGTATTTCCAGGAGGGACCAACAACCTTTCCCCCCTTTGAACTAGGATCCAACTAACATTCATGGCTTGGGTTTATTACTTTTAATTTAGAAAAAAACTATCTACATTTTTTCTGAATATCTCATTTAATTAAACTTATCCTTGATTCTTTCTCAAGCCTCTCCACATCTACCACTTTTTCACAGCTGTAACCTTACTTGTGTACTATTTTCCTATAGCAGATATATAATAAAATAAATATACAGGAAATAAACATGTACTTAGCGTATTAGAATTTTTCCATGTGCAAAGAACAGAAAGAGAGGAAGATTTAAAAGTTCACATTTAGGATCACCTTCATATCTCTTAAACTTTGGACAAGACTGTTATTTTTATATCTATTAAAACCCAATTCAGTTTCCAACAGAATTTGTGAAAAAGCTTCTCATTTATTGTGGCTGGTAGTTTTATTTGTGAGTAATGAAAATGGGGCATATTTTGCTATTTTTCTCTCTCTCTCTCTCTTTTTTTTTTTTTGCAAGGAAGTGATTGCATTTCTTTACATTATTAGATAAAACCTAAATACATTACACTTTCAACAAACTATCTTATAATTTCAGATTTAAAGGTCATGCATTGTTTTTGAGCGGGCCAGCCATTGCTGTAGAGTTGAAGTGTAGGTCAGGTTTCATTTTTAAATGCCTTTGGACAGATCTTTTCCTGATAATTGGAGAAATGGGCTCTGGGGGCCAATTTCACCTTGTGGCTGGGCACCCCAGCTGGGTCCAGAGTTCAGAGGTATCACATGGAATAACGACCACTGGGAGAGGTCCCCCCTCCTCAGTGCCACTGGCAGTGTCAAAATCTGCTCCCTGGTTTTGCATACACTTGTGACCTATAGATAAAGGAGATGTTAAGAGTGAATTTTCTGGCTAAGAAATGCATTATGTCCTATATTATTGAGATAACAGGTGAAAAAACAGTGGCCGTGTTTTGGCCTGAATTAGTCAGTTATTTGCATATACACAAAGCTGCGGGATTTCTTAAGCACGCAGAGCTGCCCTGTAACGCTTTTTCCTCACAAAATGAAAAAAGTTGCTACTTTTACATGTTGCTTTTGAGTTACAAGCTGTACCTGTAGTTTCATATATATATTTTTTTAACCATATTATATTTGGTAGTTGGCTACTTTGGGGATCCTTTTGCAGTTTCACCGTTGACATGGATGATATTGTTCAACAGCATTACACATAGTGGCAGGGATTCTGTATTAGGGTCCAGCTGAGATCACTGTCTGTAACTTGGGTCCTTTCTCTCATCAGTTCGCAAATGTAGAACTTTTTCAGTTATCCCAAATAGTATAAAGGGATATAAAACTGTATCTTCAGAAATGAATTTCTTTCTCTGTTACTATCAGTTTTCATTGAAATATCCATGGAGTAAAATCTATGCCTGACCTTTTAAAAATGCATGATTACCTGGAATGTTAAAATCTTGCTATTTAAAAATTATTTTATTTTAAAATTAGAAAGCAAAATGAAATGTTATTTAGGTAAACTCAGGAAGTTTTGCTAGTCCATAACTGGTAAAAAGATGAAATCCTATTTCTCATCGCTTGTCCTTGAAGCAAACTTCCACAAACATTTCTGGGGGTGCTTACTGCTGACACCCCAGAAAACTCAGAGACTAGTGATAGCACAGTGAGCATGGTGGGTGCATTAAGAAGTTCAACTCACAGTCCTTGTGCTGCTAATCAGTACTCCATAAAACCTGTTCGAAATTGTAGTGTTACTCCAGGGCCCCCCTACAATTTTAGTAATTAGACATCCATTCATCTTTATTTCCTTTAACTTCCAAAAGCAGTTATTTTCTCTGGAATTAGATAAAGTGGTCTATGGAGAAAGTCTTAAGCTCCATTTCTAATTAGCACACTAAAGTCAAATCATTGCTGTAACTAACTGGTGAATCTAGGTGTATGAGAGTACCTCATTCTATTCTCAAAACTTTGCTATAGTTTGAAGTTATATCAAAATGTGAAGAAAAAGAAAAAAAGTTACCAGTGATCTGCCTGGGTATCATGAAAAAGAGACTAAAAAGAAACTGGAAATAGAAAATTCTAATAATGAAAGAAAATTCCAAAGACATCTGAAAACTTGTTGAATGTAATTCACTTCTTCAGAGTTATGGCAGTAATGGTAAATATGGTGACATACTGCTTGAACAACACACACTTGCTGAGAGTATTTATGACAATCGTCATATTCTGAACCTATAGTCTTTACCTTTTGGAAATAATGAAGAAAAGCAAATACAGTTTTCACAGGGGCCAAGTAGATCAAAAGTCCTTTAAGTCCTTTAATCATTACAACAGAGAGATAATACTTTCTATTCTTTTAGTTTGTAAAGACTCAAACAAAATGATACAGTTCACGTCTTAGAGGAGTGGCTGTAAAAGGACTTCTTTCAAAATTACTTTTTCCATCAGATATCTGCCACTGTCTTTTTTTTTTTTTTTTAAGATTTTATTTATTTGACAGAGAGAGACACAGCGAGAGACGGAACGCAAGCAGGGGGAGTGGGAGAGGGAGAAGCAGCCTTCCCGCCGAGCAGGGAGCCCGATGCGGGGCTCGATCCCAGGACCCTGGGATCATGACCTGAGCTGAAGGCAGATGCTTAACAACTGAGCCACCCAGGCATCCCTCTGTCACTGTCTCCATGCAATTTTATCTTTCACTTCTACATTTTATCTATGCACTTTTACATTTTATTAATTAGCTTATAGGAATTGAGCTTGAAAGAAGACTTATTGTTCTACCTCAGTTTCAGTTTGAAATTTTCATCTGGGTTTGCTTCACGCTTAAATCACTAACACTGCAGTGGATGTGGTGTCACCCTCTTTAGTGGCATGTAAGTCACCTTCAGTTCTGGTAAGCTCTGTGTCCCTCTGCTTGTGCCTTGCAGTTTGAAGCTCCATCAGGGCAGGGCCCACGTGTTCTTTATCTCTGCACCATCCAACACTTGGCATAGTGCATAATAAGTAATCCTTCCTCATTAAATATTTGTCAATGAATTAATTTGAAAGCACTTTCATGAACCTAAAGCGCTTCAGAAATATAAGGCATTTTAACTTTTAATTATTCAGTAGAAAGAGATGCAGCTCCTGTCTGAGGATTTAAAAATCTAGTTGGTGTTTTATAATCTTAGGACATACTAATTGCTTGTGCTTTAGAAGATGCTTACGGTTTATTTGAGACAAATAAAAATTTTCTCCTGCATCCTGAAAATGGACCTGCAGAACTAAATCGTAGTCTGAAAGATGGCTGAAACAGACTTCACCCTTGAGAAATCCACGGCTATGACCGTGGTGGCAGTGTGCTAGAGGAGGTTCTCTACAAACTCTGGATGGCCACACATTAGAGGCAACCTCTGAGGTTCCTGTGTATTTCTTTATATGCAAATTTAAATTAGCTGTTGTTATTCACTAAGAACAGTTTTCTTCCTTCCTTCCTTGTTTATCATGTCCACTAACTAAGCTGAAAAGGAAATTAGTAAATTTTTTTTTTTTTTGGCTGCACTAGAGTGAAAAGGCTAACAATGAGCATTTGTGAGACACTGTCATGCACTCTTAGAAATTAAAACTATCAAATAATCAATCTTATAACTGGTCAGTGTTCATGACAGAAAAGGGGGGTCTCTGGATAGGATAGTGTGGGAAGTTCTATTTTAAGTGAGATGAGTAGCTTCTTTACAGCTTGTACATTGGTTAGCTCATATTTAGACAATTCGAAAAGGGAAATAATGCCTTTCTTTTGTAATGAAAAAGGCAATTCTTTAGGTGTTAATGATTTAAAATGAATAGCAGAAACACTCTGATCAGAGAAAACGTTGTGTTTTGGTGAGAGAGTATTTCAGGCAATCTATGGTTGTGTTTAGTGCTTATGAGGAGGACATGCCTCAACTTTATAAACTTTTCTCCAGGCTAAGACTATTTTGTGCATCTCTCTCTAAAGATTAGTGTGGGTTCTTGTTCTGATGCCAGTGAGCTAGGATTCTTTTTTAAAGGTGTCTATGGTTCTAATTCAGATAGTGACTACCTGTGTCTTGGTCCTTCTGGGTTCTTTTTGGCTCTAATCAGGAATTTTACAAGTCTCGAGTATCTTTTATTCAGTGTTTATTTTTTGCTTCATAACCTAATGTCTCTTTCTTTGGAGGCACAGCGCATATGATTTAATGGATCTTTTTACATTAATACTGTGGGAATTATGGACTAGCACATCTTACATACTTAATCCTTCAGACTATGATTCTTATTAGGGAATATTTTCTTTTATATAAGCACAGAGTCTATAAATAGCATTGTGTGGGAGGATAACAAAAGACTGGTTGATTCTAATTTGGTCAGATGGAAGGGGAGCAGGGGTAAATTTATATTTTGACAGCTTTATATCATGTATTTATGTCATGTATTTCAGTACAGTATTGAACATGAAGCTATTATTGTTCATTTTATCTTCTCCATTATGTTATATATATATATATATATATATATATATATATGCCCATAGGATTCACAAATGATACTGCCAAGTCAGCAGGAGGCAACATTTTTGTTTGTATTCCCCATTACCTACCAGTGCTGGTCTGCTAGACAGTTCTCCCATTCTCGGGGCAACCCTAGCCTTTCACTGCTCTCTTAAATTCTTCACCTTGCAGCCACACTGTTTACAAAAGGCCCCCTCCCTAATTGTCTCTATCCATTGACCTTCGGGCTGTTTTCTAGGACCAGCCAGTCCTCAAATCCCTCATCTCTGAAGCCCTCCCTGACCAACTGTCCCACTGGGTTGTGAATCATCCCTCCTGTGAACTTCTCTTTCACTTTCCACCCTTCTCACGATCCTGACAGACATTAAGTATTCTTGGGGCGGCATGGAAAATGAACAAACTCTTTATTTCTGATTTTGCTTCCTTGACCTCGGAAATGATATTGTTCTGTTACCCATTCATTCCTTTGCAGATAACCAAGCTGAAAATAGATAGCAACCCTTTTGCCAAAGGATTCCGGGACTCCTCCAGGCTCACTGACATTGAGAGGTAATGAGAATTTTCTGTTTACTTTTTTGTCCAGATAAGATAAAGAGAAGAGTGAGTTTGTAAGAACACACTCCTTTCAACGCCCAAATGCCATAACCCTACTGTAGATAGTCTCCGATCCCCCCAGCCCACCTTCCCTTCCACCTCGAAGCCCTGTAGACATGCAGCTGCTTAAGCTCTGACAGCTGCTGCACCTGCATCTGTTCCCGTGCTGTTTCCAAGGAAGTGGTTTCTTTGGTCAGGACATTGACTCAACTGTAAAAAAGTAGGGTTTCTTCCTTATCAAAGATTCAGTCCTTTTGATGATATTAAGCTGCATCTCTTAGGTGGTAATCTGCAGAGAAATGGAATCTTGATAGTCTTAGCCTTCTGAAGTGGACATATTAGCGAGCCTGAAGAATGTGAGTAGTTTGGAACTCTGAAGCAAGGAGATGTCATTTAATTCAAGGCACATATTTTACATATGGCATAGACTACTCATATTTAACAGGAGAGACATCAGGTCTCAGGACCTTTAAGAAGACAAGTGACAATCACGGGCCTGTAACTTACTCCACTTTTTACTTAATTAAAATGGTTTACACAGTGTGAGATCATCTTCATGGTGAGTAATGACTACGTTGAGATCCAGAGCTTGCCCATAGGAATGTCAAAAACATGATGTGTTTTTTAGGGAGAAGATTTTTGAACCTAACAGATTATTTGTATCTCTTACACATACTATGGAACTTTCTGTACTTCTTTTTTGTGTGAGAACATTTAAGTTCTACTTTCTTGGCAGATTTCAGTTATACAATAGTGTTATCAACTCTAGTCAATATGTTATACATTAGATCTTTAGACCTTATTCATCTTCTGTACTTCTTCTTTTATGTGGCCCAGAGTCTTTCTTTGACAGGTGGTGTACCCTAGCCACCAGAACCTCTGGTGTATTTTACCTCCAGGTCTTTGTGTGATTTCCTCCCCACCAACTGCTATACATTTCTGTCACACTCTTTGTTACCTAACACATGGTCACATCTCCTGACCTCGGCACTTCTCTCCAGCCTTCCTGGAAATGCAGTTGAAGGGGTCATTGCATATTTTAGCAATATCTATCTAATCCTTCCTTCAGCCCTCCCAAGTAGCAGAGCACAGTGGGTTTTGATTTGGAGGAAAAGTTATAGAGGCTCAGTGAGGAGGCAGAGAAGCCAGCAGGAGAGGCTGAAAGTGGAGCAGGTGCTGTGGGATTCAAGTAGAAGAGAGAAATTAAGTCACTGGAGAGCTTGACAAGTGGTTGAGGGGGCTGAGATCAGGGAAGGAAACTTGAGCTTGTGGTTGGAAGTCGATTGCAGACTGCAGAGAGACACCAAATGGATAGCTCTCCAATGAGGTGGGACATAGGCAAGCAGATAGGCCTTGAGACCCAAGGCAGTGAGAATGTGGCATCAGCAGTGTGGGTGACAAATAAGTCCATTTACAAAGGCTGCTTTCATTCAGGCATGACCTTTTTCATCTCTTATTTCTGGAGAGCCAGAAGCAGTGACTCCAACTGGATGTATACAGGTGGGATTAGAAGTGAACTTCTTCATTTCAGTCAGGTAGCAGGTAAGAATGAAGACAGTGGCTCAGTGGGACAGCAGTGGTGTGTTTTTATAGTGTGTACCTTATCTTCTATCTCAGATCAGGAGGTGAGCATGATATACCGGGAGACAAACTCATGGGTTAGAGTCCCAGCTCTGCCTTGTACTGGCTGAATGATCCTGGAGTAGTCTCCCAGCCTCTGTTTCCTTATCTAGAAGATGGGAAAAATAACCCTGCTCCTTCAAAAGTTTATTATGAGAGCCAAGTAAGGTGACATTTATGAAACACTTTATAAATCTAAAAATGTGAAATAATTATTATTTTTTGCCCCATCTAAGTGTACTTCTAATAGTCTTAATAAACTACTCCTAGAGTAAAAATAGCCCCTTATTTGCACGTGTGCTCACGAGATACGAGTCCCCAGCCTCACTGCCCTTTGGAACAGCAGATTTGATAATGCATGCAGGCACATTTTCCACTTATTGAATAAACATCCTGATGTGGGGAGCACTCACACGTCCATGAAACTGAGTAGCTTTCAATGGTCTGAGGGCGAAGAGAGCATCTTCTGTGACCAGCTGAAAGTTTGCAGGATGACCTAACTAGTGTGAAATTGGCCAAGGTTTTGGATTTCATTTCCAGGTATTTAAGTCTGAATTTTCCCTAAACAGCCTTTGGGGATGGGTCAAATCAGATCAATTGATCTTTAGAGACCTAAAGAAATTAAATTAGTCTGGAGTCAGTTACTGCACTAAACCATCTAGTAATTGAATTGCTCCTTGTAACTGATTGAAAACAGCCCTATCTGTAACAATATAGGGGACTTTTCCTTATAAGAGATCTGAGACAAAAACACATCTTTTTATGACATGATGACAGAAATTACACTTTTCTAACCTAATTGAATGTGATGTTATAAATATGTGACCTTAATGATTTCAAGTTTCCTGTTCTAGATTTACAACTTTGGTGTGGGACACCCAAACAAAAATGCTTTTGGGACTGGATCTGTTTGCCTTACACCTCCAAACTCAGTGTTTTATTTCTTCTACAATTGCACAAGCTTTTGGGATACCGTATAAGGCATTACAGTTTTCCTGCTCTCATTTTAATGGGTTCTGTTCAGACACTTGAATATTCGTCTCCCATGCTCCGTGTGTAGCCTTACTCTTCAGTGACAGCATCTCCTTCATTTGTAAAAGGAAAACCATCTCATTAGCAAAAGTAGAAAGCATTTTCATCAGACGCTTTGCACATATACCTATAATGGACAGCTTAGAAGCAAACCAAAAGCCCGAAGGAATTTCTTAATATCACCGAATTCATAATTATTTAGTTCAGAGAAAGAATTACCTACTGGTCTGTCAGATAATAATAAACAGACTGTTAGTTGGTGTTTTCTTTTTTTGGTGGGGGGAGGGAGGGCACTTTGTACAGTAAGGGAAAGCACAGTGTTACTTTTGAGAAAGGAAAAATAACTAGGAGAGTTTTTTAATGATTTCTTCAAAATTTTCTTTTGTTAGGTTTTTTGTTTTTTTTTTCTTCCCCAGAGAGAGTTCATGCTCATTGCAGAAAAATCTAACAAGTAAGAAAAAGAGCATAAATAAGTAACAAATTCCATTCACTCAGAGATAACCACTGGCAAAGACTTATATATTCTTCCAGGTACTTTCTTATGCATGTACGAACATTTACTTCCTTTAAGGTTTACACACATATATTTTTAATCATTTCCCCTTAATATCAATAGATATATGACTATAGTATACTTTTTAATGGCTGCCCAATTTTCCACTGTGTCCGATCACTTATTTGACCAATCCTATATATTAGTTATTTAGGTTTCCCACTTTTTATTATTACAAACAGTGCTAGGAGGAAAATATATATCTTAACTCATGCTCTTCATTATTACCATAGGATAAATACTAACAAATAAAAATGCTGGATCTAGGGATATACTTTTTTATTTTTATTTTATTTTATTTTTTTGGTGCAAAATGGTGGTTTTATTAAAGCATGAGGACAGGACCCGGGGGCAGAAGGGGATATACTTTTTTTATTCATAATGTTGTTTTTATTGTTAAAAATTTGGGAAAGACCTAAATATTCACTAATAGAAAAATGGTTTAATAAATGTGTATGGCCATGCAATGGAATTTTAAAAAATCATGGTAACGTATGCAACATAATTTGCCATTTTAATCATTTTTAAGTAAACAGTTCAGTGGGGTTAAGTATATTCACAGTGTTGTGCAACCATCACCATTTTACATTTCCGGAATGTTTCCATCATCCTAAATAGAAAACTTGTACTCATTAAACAGTAACTCCCTATTCCTCCTTCCCCAGCCCCTGGTAATGTCTGTTCTACTTTCTGTCTCTATGAATTTGTCTAGTTTAGATACTTCATATAAAGGGAAAGATAATACATGTTTTTAAGGTTTTTCATACAAACTGCCAAGTTTCCCTCAAGAATGATTGTCCATGGCATGGTCACGAATACCCATTTCTTGTACCCTTGTCAAACATAATCACCATCTTTTCATCTTTGCCAATTTGATAGGTGAAAATGTGTACTTTTTCTTTTGTAAATTGGCCTGTTTATGTCATTAGCTCTTTTTTTTTTCTTTTGAATTGTTTATCTTTTCTTTTATTGATCCATATAAGCTACTTATATTAGTATTTTTATTGTTTATTTATATTGGAACCATTTTGTCAGTTTGAAATTAGCTTTTTATGTATGTTTTTGATAAACAGAATATTTTATCACCAAATCTGTTTTACTTTATGATTTCTATCTTAAGAAGAGGTTCCCGGGGCACCTGGGTGGCTCAGTCATTAAGCGTCTGCCTTCGGCTCAGGTCGTGATCCCAGGGTCCTGGGATCGAGCCCCGCATCGGGCTCCCTGCTCCACGGGGAAGCCTGCTTCTCCCTCTCCTACTCCCCCTGCTTGTGTTTGCTCTCTCGCTCTGTCTCTCTCTGTCAAATAAATAAAAACAAAATCTTTAAAAAAAAAAAAAAAAGGTTCCCTACTCCAAAACTCTATAAATATGTAAATATTCAAGTACAGATTTCTGTCATTTTACTGCTTTCTAATTTTTTATTTAAAAACTCATACAGTATTTATTTTGGTATGAGATATAAAATAGACATGTCACTGTATATTTTTTTTATTTTACATTTTTAAAATTTTATTATGTTATGTTAATCCCCATACATTACCTCCTTAGTTTTTGATGTAGTGTTCCGTGATTCATTGTTCGTGTATAACACCCAGTGCTCCATTCAATACGTGCCCTCTTTATTCCCCTTCCCCGGGTTACCCCTTCTCTGCCCCCCCTCCCCTCTAGAACCCTCAGTTTGTTTCTCAGAGTCCATAGTCTCTCATGGTTGGTCTCCCCCTCCGATTTCCCCCCCTTCATTTTTCCTTTCCT